ATGAACTTGCTTAGATAGCCAGTGGAAACCAGTAAGAATATGACAGTTGTTTTATTCTGATTTGGGACGACTTGACAGTGTGCATCTATGACTACACTGCAGGAGTATGAATCCAGAAACCCCCACTCTGAAGTTGGACTTGTACCTATTACAGCCAATGAGTTGGTGAGTGAACTATGAAGGTTTCCCAAACGTGCACGAAACGACCGTTCAGTGTTTTATGACTTCTACTGTTTTCCCAAAATCAATTAGTAACGAGAACAATCTATAAATTAAATAAATACTCACGAAACCTATTCAACAAAATCTTTGTGGTATATTGTAAAGATATCATCCAACAGTGGTATAAACGTATGTACGTAGGTGGTAAATAATTTCAGAAGAAATTAGGCTTTAACATCAGTTAGTAATAAGACAATTCTTGTTAATTAATAATCACAACAAAATTCAATAACGTAGATTAAACTTTTAGAATAATATCAAGGTAAATGAGATAATAAATATTAGAAAAACAGAAAAACAAATGATACTGACTTTTCTTCATTTGTTCTGGTCATATCGATTGCTCAGATAACAAAACACACCACAATTGTAAAAAAAATGTATCACTAAGAGCAAAGTTTATTAAAAGTGACTGCTTTGAAAAAATTTAAGACGTTTCGGATATTCTGTTTGTGGTTCTAAGTTAGCTTAACATTTTTGATGATACTTTTCTGTGAGATGATGGAGGAAATTTGTACCTCAGGTGGATGATTTTGGTGGTATTTCGTTCTCTGAGCTGGATATTTTCTGCAGCTTAAGTCACAAATTTATACTGCTTAGACCACCAGTGTGAAACTGGAAGCAGTGAACTGGCGATTAATCTTAGTAAGGTTCTCTTCAGAGGGGTGCGTTCATGACGCCGTACTCAGGAATCGGACCTAGAACTTGGTCGTGTGCGAAGATGCCTAACCCCTAGTCCACTGGGACAGTAACCAACTGTGCAGAAGCCTTACTACTATAAATTAGCCATATTGCGAGGTCTGTCGTCCATTATCTCATACCCGATCTCGGTAAACTTTACTGTTCAGGACTTCTCACTAAAACTTCAAGAGTTGCATCTTGAAGTCAGTCAATAATCAAAATTTTAAAAGTATTTTTTGAAGGCGTATCAGAGCTAAACTGTAAAATTCCAACTACTTTGTAGTGAGTTATTCACGTGACCCATGAAATTCAACAATCTTCATAAGTCTCCTTATTAACACTAATTATAATCATTTGCTGACAGACAAGTAATTTCAAGATGTGATTTCTGAATCTCTACTGGGAAGCCATGATAAGCAAAAATTAAAACATCAGATACGAGACCGATATCACAAACAAAAATAAAAGATGTTTAATGATTCTTGAGAATGAATTCAAGTTAGCAGTCGTCGGGTTCCGACTCGATGGTCAAAAAGTTATGCACTCAACTCACAGGATTTCCTGTATTCATTCCACTGTGATGGAGTCATAGATGCACACTGTCAAGTCGTCCCAAATCAGAATAAAACAACTGTCATATTCTTACTGGTTTCCACTGGCTATCTAAGCAAGTTCATTGTGTAATGAAAATTATAAAACTCCATGATTTGCTTATTATTCGGTTAAATTGTCTGAACCACCGATTGTGTCCAGATTCTGTACATCTTGGAGTGTTGATTGGATATTTTTCGATCTCAGCTATTGGTGGCACCGAAGATGAATGTTGTATTCTATTGAGATTTAGTCATTATCATAATTTTGCAATCCTTATTTTATTTTATTAGTACCACAAATGCGGTTAATAGGCGATCAATAAGATCTATGAATTAATAATTCTTAGAAATATTAATATACTAAAGTAATGTTCGGAAGCCCGTGGTTTTTAACAGTCGCTTAAAGTAGCACGGTCTGTAAAGTAAATTTTTTTTCAACAAGAAGAATATTCACAGAGATATACGTTCATAATGTCTGTCATCTGCTTATTCAATAAAAGTTCCTAGTAAGAGTTTTTTGGAAACTTTTGATGACAAGTTATTTGTCGATGGATTATCATCAAATTGGAATGAGAGAAAGGGGCACATCACAAACGATACAGTTTTCTTATTTTATTATCGATAGATTTTTAAGAATACTTACAAATATATGATGTTAGAAAATACTTTTACCATGTTTTAAACAACTTGTAATTTGTTCAGTATTTAAAATAGCGTTTGCTACATGCACATATAAATATATATATATATATATATATATATATATATATATATATATATAAACCTACTACGCACATACATTAAAAAGTTCTGACTAGTGAAACTGAACGCTAGTCTTATTGGTTAACATGTACTGGCAACAGTAATAATAATAATAATCACATAGAATATAATGAAAATAACTAGAGTCAGAGACATTAAATTATTACGAAAATCCATACCAAAATCATACCAAATACATCTGAATTAATGAATAACAAACCATGATTATCAGCTTCTTATCATTAGTAACTGTATGAAGAAGAGACTTATTATTATTATTATTATTATTACCATTATTTTTTTTCGTTAATTAATTCGACATTATATTATGTCTAATTGTGATCTATGATAATTTTCTTCTGAATGAAAAAGGAGTAATACCACCACCACCAATATGACACTGTCGAATTATTTTGTAATTTTGTGCTTTCATAAAATCGATTGAAACTTACCGTTGAATTGTGTAGGTGTGCTCTTTTTTGTCTCTCTCTTTTTTTATTTTCTTGTTTTCTCGTACCGTAACACAAACTCATAATCATCATATTTGATCAAAATTTTTCAACACGAAGGAAATTATTATCATGATTTATAAGTGAGTTATGTAAAAGTATTTCATGATTTTATTGAGTTTAAATTAAAAAAAAAAGAAATTTTTTCAAGTAAATTCAAAATATTCAAATTTTCATCTTCTAATGGTAAATTACACAAATAACCAAATAATGAGTTTATAAAAGTTGAATTTAATTAGTGAGAACCAATGTTTCAAATGGCTGTCTTTACGAAAACAATCCATATGAGACTCTAGATTCAGATAATATACTAGTTACCATGGTATATCTACACTATTCAGAGAATTTAAATATTTCACAGTGTTTAAATTCATATTAATTTGTTTGTTCACTATTTCTCGTAAACTTGTTTCAGTGTTATTATTCAAATTTTACATTAACTCGAAAAGATTAAAATTTGATACAATTTCAATGGATTAGGATCCCGTTTATTAACTAATGACTACTTTAGTTAGTTTTATTTAGAAATTATTTGAATATGTTAATTATGAAACAGTCTTAAGGTTTGATACTTCATATTATCAAGAGAGATTGGGGAAAAAAAAGCATTACTTCGATCTCTTATTAATAAGAAATGAATATGTGAGAAGTTGATCAAATAATGCTTAAATACAACATCGAATAATTTTCATTTAATCTGATGAAAAAATTTGATTTCTTGTTTCATCGGGTTTAGTGTTTTTTGAAAAAAACTACAGGCTAAAATATAGACAAGACTGCTTCAGTTGAACATTTCTCTGTTTGGTAAATTAATTTTTCGAAATTTCGATAATCGGAAATGTATATGTATCTTATTCTAAGTTATAATCAATAATGTGTCTATTAATACTGATATTAATAATGCAGATTTGTTCAAGATAATAACAGAGACATAAATTAGACAGAAATATGACAAATGGATTTTTTAAAAAGCTGTTAGGTTATTATAAGCTTGGATTTTTTTATTAAAAAAAAACTGTATAACAGTTGGTAATTATGAAAAACATACTGAACTATGTAAAATGTTGAGGTACAGATAAAGTGTAGTCGAAAAGAGAATGGAAGCACAAATAATTAACTGGAAGTTAAGAGACGAATTGAGAAAGTGACAAGACAGAAGATAATGTACTTTGGAAAACAAAAAAATAAGACCATTTTACATAAACTGTTTCAGCCTTTCTAAGTAAATAACCGGCGTTAAGTTTTTAGAAGCTTTCTACTGATCTTGTAATTGACTTCAAACACTGTGCCTGTTGTAATTGGATGGTTTGTGTTCACAAGATGTTAGATTATAAGGCTTCTTAGTGTGCGACTTTTGTCTATTTTCAGTCAAGCTGAATAGTGTTTCTGAATTTATTGTATGAAATGCGCACTGAACAACCAAAGTGCCTTATTCCATCGAAGTAAGTATATTGATGAATGCACATAGAAGTGATCAAATGAAAGAGCTTATGATTTAGGGTGTTCATAAATGTTGATCAACCGGAGAAGAATAACCCCAAGGTTGCCGAGACAAGCGTTAGTTCGAAATAGCTAAAAGTTTTCCACTTCAAGAAATTTTCAGCTTTGTCATCTTTGAAGTTTATATCAACGGTTTACTTTGATACGAATTCTATTTGTAATTTAAGAGGTTTGAATTTTAAATTTCTGTCAATAAATCTCTGTGAATACACTCATTTTCTATAGGCATTTCTCTTTAGAGGATCGATTCGTCATAACGTTATGACTGCGAATTCTTCCTATAGTGAATTTTCTCCTTTTTTTCAATAGGGATTCAATAACGTAGGCCTAAAAGCTAAACATTTCATGAAGGTTAATATAGTATAGATAATTACTATTGAATATTTAATCATTTTAACTGATTAATTATTATGATTAGAAAATAAATTGAATTTCATCCCAAATATACGCTCTAGAATTCAATTGGTTTATTGTTTCATGCAAACTAACCAATCACAATCTTGGAAAGGAGCAGTTTACATTACTGTGCATTTTTGATGTTTAAAACTTAATTATTTGTCTGTTAGGCATAGTTTAGAAATAACGTAAACTTATAAACATTCTGAAAATACAAATATTGGAAAATTATTAAAATGATTATAATTACTGGATAATGTTTAATAAAAACACTGACACAAATTCAACAGAAATTAGAACATTCATTTCATGAGTAGTACCAGCCTATAGGGAAGAGATGTTAACTGTTCAGTTGATTGATTTGAATAGACGTCACAGTCAACAACAACAACAACAACAACAACAAAAGCAGCAACAGCAACAGCAGCAGCAACAACAACAACAACAACAGTTGAATTTCAATGATCATCATGATTACTGCAATGGTGACTATCTAACTCGATGTCATCATTTATATCTTTTGTCACAAAATGATATTGTTAATCCACAAACTCAGATAACAGCTCTTACATTGAATACCTCAACATATCTTAATAATAATAATAATCATGCAACTGATTCTAATATTCATACTAGTCACAACAGTAGGTCAGCATTTGTAAATTTTAAAAAAATTCACACCAAACATTATTGTTCTTCAACAGTTGATATTAATCCTTATTCCGATTCTATGATCAAATATCATTTGGGCAAAATTAAAGAATTAAGACAAGATGAAGCCAAGGGAATGGAACAACAACTCAGTAACATTAATAATAATAATAATAATAATTCCCAACAAATGAAATCAAGTGAAGATTTTGAATATGATCAATTCGAAGCCCAGAATAGTCATAATCAATCTCATCAGCATCAGGAACAGCTTATTTTTAAAACAGAAGAACTAACAGTTGATGAATGTCAAGAAGAACAAAATCCATTAACATCTGTCAGATGGAATGATGCTCATGACAATAATGATGATGACGCTGATGAAATTAATGATTGTTCTATGCCAGTAACAGAAGGAAACAGTTCTATTCAACAAAATAATTCATCTGAAGATATAAAATCTTTAATTTTGAGAAATTTAATCTGTTCATCGGATGAAATGAAAAATTTTCAGGTTAGTAAAAAATTTGTATATGTTAATATTAAGAGTTTGTTTAATACTTTATATCGTGATATCATGTATAAGTTTAATGAAACTTGTTTATCAATGTTTAACGAATGAAGTAAAATTGAATTACGAATAAATTAGAATATATATGTAATGATTATCATTTGCAAAATGTAATATGCCGTTATTTTTTTAAATTACAAACGTTTTTTTAACATTTAAATCATCAGTATTCATTGGAAGAAAAGTGGTTTTGCATTGATAAGCCATAAAAGTCACCAGAAACTATAATGAAAATGAGAGTAAAAGCATTCAGTTAATGAATAGTAACTAGACTAACATTGGTATGATAAAATTATTTAAAAATAATGTCATTGAAGAATATTTATTTGAAAGTAACAAGGAATCATGTGGTTATGTTATTCTTGCAGCTTAAAAAATATGAATATTTCATTATTTGTTACAGGAAATTATTATTATCATTATTACTATTACTGTTGTTTTCAATCAATACAATAAGTGGATGATAATGTAATGAAATCGATAATCTTTACACTATTCAATTTAATGATAAATTTATGATAGTTTTTATTTTAAATTAGCCTTGAATTAATCAGTTTATGAATTGGGCTAATTATTAATTTCATTTGATATTGTGTAAGTTAATACAGCAAAACAGATTTAGAAAATTTTTACCTTCAACTTGACAATGAGTCCATCTTTAATCATATTACAGCCGACAAATCATTTAATAAATTGAATTTTGATTATTAAAGTAACTGAATTGATAGAAATTTTAATCATTGATCATCTCTCTAAATCAGTAGCAGTATTATTTAAAAAAGAAACCGGCATATCATGTAGGTCAAATTTATGCCTCATTTCGCTGAATTAATTCCACCCAGACGGTACTGCCAAATATCTAACGAATTTAGGAAAGTTCAATTCAAGTTACAAATTAAAACTTGCTTAACTTTTTATCTTTGAATACGATAAATTTGCTTTCTCAGAGATGTAATTACAATAGTTAACATGTATTTTTTTAAGAACACCGCAAAAGATATTTCGTAAGTTTCCGATTACTTTCACGTTGATTTCAGTTTTCACTTTATTTATTTGCTTCAATTACCGATTCTAACGGATGTTATAAAAGTTATCAGGTTTAAGTTCTTAGAAAAGAAATAATTTAGCTCTAAATGTTAGTGCCATAATGTTCAGACTTAAAGATGCTTCTTATTCTTCAATAAATTATGGTATTTCCTTTTAAAGATTCATTATATTTTTGTTTTCAAAACGAATTACATGTATAAATCATCACAGGAAATAAATGCTCTAACTTGTTAATAATAAATGTCCAACAATAAATTGAAGAGTCGACTGAATCAATAGGTGGTGGTTCCGATTAGTTTACAATACATAATATTTCTCATTATAATTGCTTACAAGTAACTCATAATAATTCCTCAAAACAGATCAGTGATTCATGTAATTATATAAAAATGTATAGTGGTTTCTTCAATAAAATTAAATGATTGTTGGTTTTAATAGGCGGGGAAGTATTGTTTAGTGATATTTTAAATATATAAAATTATTAAAAACATGCTTAAGGGAAGATGGATAATAGGGAACGGTGAATCTGGTCTATCAAATAAAAACCAATCTTATTAAATCCACAAGCCAATCAAAGTAAAACAATCACTCATAAAAACTAAAGGCACCAAATCTAATGTTGAAAGTGAATTTTAACTTTCGACGACTTGTAAATATTCAGTCACTAACTGATTTCAAGTTAAAATTCATGTATTTTTGAGTACTTAAGTATACAATCACAGGAAGGTTCCGGACTAAGTAGTCGGCATTAAACTTTGAAAACTTACATTCAAAAGTTTCTTCTCCAGTGATAGGTGGTGAAATGAATAAGTTTTTTTGAATTGTTAGGGATTATTATTATATATTCCATGTTTCCATATATTTCAAGTAGGGTAACAAACAATGAAATGTTTCGTCACTCAGCTGTTGTTGTTATTTTTAAATTTTTAATGATACATAAGTTTCTATAGAAAATGTTTTAATATAACTCGCACAACCAGCTAAAAATTTATTTCCAGAATGATTGATACTTGAATCACGTAAGCTAGATGCACGTGTTTTTACGTGTTTTTTCGCCTCATAAAGACCTTTCGATTTGAGTACTTCTTCTTAATCTATGTAGAGAGATCGATCCTCTTCATATATCCCAAGGCTACTTATTATCAAGCACATTGAAAGAACAGTAAAGTACTATTAAGACATCAAGTTAAATCACTCTTTCTGATAGATTCATTTCTTCATCAACAAGATCTGTTGTCAAAAATATTACTCTGGTCATCATTATTACTCTAACTACTATTCGCAGACTGTGGTTAACTTATAAAAGAATTCGATTTCAACTTAAAGATGATGGTTTATTTTGGATCCTTTATTATCTAACCAGTTCCTAATCGATTCAGCTTTTTAAAGATCGAGTTACCTGATGTTAAGTTAATGTTTTGGATGAAAAGTAGTTTGAGTTTATCACTACTTTGGCAGAACTTAATACACTACTTAAGGATTTTATCTTACACAATTATTTTGTTTCAATAAGATATTATCACTGTATTGTGGAATATTTCTTCACTGTGTGAAATTTTCTCGATTGATAAAAAGACTGGTTCTACCCCTTGGTAAATTTAAATAACTCTTTTTTCATTTTACTAGTGAATTCTAAAATTTTTTCAAAATAAGAAGATAATTAATCTACAATTATTTTATTGTCTGTTTTTCGAAGAATCATATTAAATTTTGTAGATTTAGTTCAAGGTTACTACATTTTTGCTTTAATGTTTAATTGGTCATTTATGGAACAGTGCGTATAAATCTGTTTTTATGTGTACAACGATACTTTTTTTTCTTAATTATTAGTTTTCTGTTCATTTCATTACAAATCAAACATGAACTGCCATATTTAACTAAAATGTACAACACATATGAAATGCCTAGTGAAAGTGTAATATCTAGCGTTTTTAAGCGTTTTTTTTTCATCTAATTATTGAGTTATTCTTATACATATGGGTATGACTTTCAATTCCGTTATTTGAAGTTATCTATATATGTCCTTTGTGAACACGCCACAATAACGCATTTCAACTTGACGAATGAAAAAAGCATACAAAGTGAAAGTTAGAGCTTAAAATAAAGATCCTCAGTGAATCGAGCAAAATTGCTTTATACTGAGCACTCACTTAATACTAAATAAGGATGCATTTCACCCTCATGGACATGCATCTTACTTTTAAATAATACATCAGAATGATTCAAGTATTACTACTATTAATTATTATTATTATATAATATCTAAAATAGAAACTTTAATAAATGAAATCAGTTTCGTACAAAATTTACCTGACAATTTATGTTTGCTACATAACAGGAAAAAACACTGTGAAATGTAATAAAATGTAGAATGACGAAAACAGATACCCGAGTATATGTATAAGTATGTACCTTTCATGTAAAAACATTTCAGCTTCTTTGTATATGATGTAAATATTCGATTGTGTTGCATGTTTAATGTGAATGTTATTCGAACATTTTGATTCATCAATATAGAAGAAAATTGTTGACATTTTTAATATGTTGTATGTCAGCAGATTATACGCGTATAGTGAGATATATGAAAGAAGTGTATATGTCATGCATTTTTTGTAAGGTCCAATGATTTTATTCATTTCATAATAATTAGTCATTGTACATATTCTATGAAATTTTTATTGTATTACTGTGAATATGATAAGAATTATTGAAATTAAAATTATGTATTATTTTAGAAAAGTAGTTTCTGTCTTCACTTGTCTTCACTTTAATAGTTCTGTCATTTTTAAGGAGTAAAATCCAAGTAAGTTCTTTTTTTATGTCCATAGTTTACATCGTGGATTAACTTTAGTTAGATAAAAATCAATGGACTGCTGTTACGTCATAGTATAGGACTCTTCAATAATGAGTGCTGCCATTTCGTAACAAGTTTTCAACGGTTGCTAATTACGGTCAGTCCATGGTTTAAATTAAAAATTCAACAACTTTCATAAATTTTGTACACTGAAAATCTTATATTTATTTGATAACTTTAAAGGATTCTTTGGAGTGTTGATAATTTAGTAATACATAGCAGTTTGGCATTGAACACTTGTCAGATTCCTTGTAAGATTCCTCTCAATTTATGAGTTTATACTTCGAATGGCTTGTTGCTGTTAGAAATAAAATTACCAAACCTAAATTGCTATAAAAAGTTTGTGGAGATCTATGACGGATTTCATGAATAACATACCGGGCTGAAATTAGTTGAGTAAAGACTCAAAACCAGGAATCATTGGGCTGGTATTTCATCCTAGTATGTGACGATTCAAAAGTAATAAACCATAACCAAACGACCACGGATCGAACACAGAACCCTCTGGACCGGTATCTAGTGGTGTATATATATAACTCCAGTCAATGACTAATACCGCTCAAACTGTTCCCAACGTACTTAGTGCGTTGTTCCACATAGTTGAACTCGTTAAGAATTCAGCATCATCTCTCGAAGGTAGTCAGTAGTAAACACATGACTGTTTCGGATGTCACAGTCACAGTAATTAACCATGCATTCTCCGAATGGTCAATCCACTAACTTTAAAACATAAACTATTTAATAAATGATCTATAACTTTTTATAGTTCATTTTCTTTGAAGTAACTTAATACATTATGACTCATGACAATTTCGAAATAACTGCTATAACAATTGTAATGTGTAACAGTAAAAATAGTAATTTTTTGCCTGATTCAAACAGAAAAATCTCATTAGAAGCCTTTTTATAATAATTATTAGAGAACTTTAGAAGATTTAGCATCATTAGTCAACCTTATGATAGTTTACATAGTCGTATCATAAAATCTGACGGAATTCTCGATATCACTGAGTTAAAGGGTTTGAGTTTTGATATGTTACTA